CTGAAAAGTTTGAGAGCTGAACATATTTTTCCCATAAGAAATAATGGAAAAACAAATAATTGTTTCTGAGGCCCCAAAATTCACTTACAAATATATTTTCTCCAGGACGTTCACATTTCGTGGTGACTTCTTTCTCTCACGCTGCTATGGTTCTCAGTCTTCCTCTTAGCTCCATGCTGGCTCTCACCGTGTCCGTGGTGGGACAGCACACAACTCCTCCGACACAGGCTTCTCCAGTCGGACTTGTGGTTCCACTACTGAGCAGCATTACAGACGCCGAGCAGATCTTTTTCGAACTGCGCTGCTCCAGTGCTGGAAGTTGAGCTCGGAGCTGCTGGATGGCTGAGGCAGCACCACCCATAAGCAGCTCAAGAGAAGTTCCATGGTCAGGGCTCCGAGACCTCAGCAGTGTTAATACATCAAGTCTTCATCCCCAGGTTCGTCTCTGGAGCCAGCTCCTGCCAACACCTCCACATGTTTGTTTTGTCCCAGAAACTGACAGCCCCATCGGATGGGCACATGTGCACGGAAAGACCAGGGCCTGGGGCGGTTAAAACGGTCTTGAACAAGATTACTTACATCAGCCACTCAACTGCAAAACTGTGAAGCTCAGTGGTCAAGAACATGGCTCGAGGGGCTGGGGATTTAGCTCAGCAGCAAAGCGTCTGCCTGGCAAGCGCAAGCTCGTGAGTTCGGTTCCCGGTACCGGAGAAAAAAAAAAAAAAAAAAAAAAAAAGAACGTGGCGCTGGTCAGTGTGGCAGGACGGAGAGGTCAAGAGGAGACGGCTGCTCAGGACAGAGCGGGGCGAGGACCGCGGCAGGGTCAGCCTGGCCAAGCTGCAGCCCCACAATGCAGTCAAACCCAGCCCAGGTGCCACTGAGAAGCACTCTGCAGGAGATTAAAGCCCGTAGCCAGGCGTGATGGTGCACACCTGTAACCCTGGGGCCTGGGGAGGCTGAGGCAGCGGGAGGGCCTTAAGTTCAAGGCCAGCTGGGGGAGTTCAAGAGCAGCCTAAACTACATAGCAAGATCCTGTCTCAAAAAGGCAAACCAAAAAAGAAGGCCAACCAAACAGCGACAGGAAGCAGGGATGCAGCAGACTGGGCAGCACCGAGCTTTTAGGGAATAGAGGCAGCTAAGCCTGAACTATGCTACAGCCACACTCCATGGATTCGCTAAAAATCACCCAACTGCCCACTTACAGCACTGCATGGCCTCAATAAAGCTGCTTCTCTAAACGAAGCAGAAAGCTAAGTGCGAGACTCAGCTGACCCCGAGTGCTTACGCTTCGCGCGGTGCAGGAAACCAGCTGGCAAGGACCCTGGCAGCTGGGTAGGGGCTGGGGCTGGGGGGCAGGGGGCGGGGAGCCTGGGCACTGCGCACGGCTGTGCTCTGTGAGGAAACCGTGTCCACGCCTGTGCACTTTGCTGGGCTCATCCCCCGGGATGGCAGGGCTCTGAGACTCAACCTGACAAAACAGCAAGACCTCTGCAAAAACAAGACGCGGCAGGCAGACAGTGGGTAAAATCTTCAATAGCATAGAGCACCGAGACATTCACAGTCCTACATTATCCCCTGAAACTCTAACCACATCCTATAAGGTTTTGCCAAACAATCTGGCAACATGGAGTGCCCAGAGAGAAGGCCTACAGACGTCACAGAGATGTGCACCCCGTGCCCAAATCCCTGAGAGCAGCGGAGGAGGAAAGGTTGAGTTGGCACATGGTGTCAGGTTTTAGGGCAAGGCAGGCCAGCTCCACCTTCTGAGGCTGTGGAGAGCAGACCGTCAAGGTGGAGCTGGCAGAGGGAAGCTGAGAGAACAGCAGGAGGCCCAAGAAAGATGGCAGCTGGGCAGCCACTCGTCTTCATGACGTGTCACGGTGGGATCCCTGCCAGGTCTCAGGACTCGCTGGACACAGAGCTGTGGAGTTGGCGGTGTTCACTTGGTGCGGGGAGAGCGGACCGACTGGGCGAGCAGTGGGTCAGCACCCACAAACGCACACAGGCCCACTCGGGATCTAACAGAACCAAAGCTACAGGACGCCTGAAAGGGGAGGAGCTGTTTCATACCTAAACCCATTCAACAAAAACGTGAAAGCAGTAAAAATGAAGTAGAGCAGCGACGTCTGCTACGCGGGCTCAGAGGAAAGGACAGGATTGAAGCACTGTGGTTGAGCAGGGGCTGGACAGAAGCTCGGCCCTGTGCCATCAGGCTGTGGGTGACAGGTAGGTGAGGTGTTCACATGAAATGTCCAGCAGAGTTAAGGAGCAAAGCGGCACACCAGGGAGGTGGCAGCAGGGTGGGGAAGCTGCCAAAAAAAGAAGAAAAAAGAATCAGGCATGGTGTCACTCACCTGTAATCCCAGCTACCCAGGAGGCTAAGGCAGGAGGATATCAAATTGGAGCCCAGCCTGGGCAACCTAACAAGGCCCTGTCTCAAAGAAAAAGGGCTGGGGATGTGGCTCAGTCTGAACACCCTAGGTTCAGACCCTAGGACTTTGGGGAAGAAAGCATAAAGTAGGACAACCGAAAGGTACAATAGTTACAATAAATGTAAATGGACTAAATCAGCAGTTCAGAGACTAGGACTGTCAAATCTGATTTGTTGAAAATCCAGCTACTTGCTCTTTACAAGCAAGAAGAGTAAATCCCAGACACTCACGGCCTTCATTACCCTGAGACAAAACACACTTTAAGAGTAAATTGCTCTGAGCCAAGAAGGACAACTACAGGTGATACATGGGGATGTTGAGGAGGCTCAGTGTGCTGCAAGCAGCCACCCAGTGTCACACTCAGGCGATCTGATTGGCCAGCTCCAGAAGTCCACCCACAGCATCTGTCTAGGACAAAAAGGAAAATCCTTTCTTCGTTGCTGGGGGATTTAGTGTCAGCTGCCAGCATGGCTTGAGAGGTCGTTGGATTAATGCAGCACACTACTGGGGTGTCTGGGTGAGCTGAGGGGCGAGCGGCCGGGAACTCCATCTGCTCCCTGCCCTGTCCTCTCAGGCTCTTCCCTGTGCTCTGCTTCCTGACTGGCACGAACTGAGCAACTTTGCTCTGCCAGGCCCTTCCACCATGCTGTTGCCTGGAAGCAACCTACCTGGAACTGAAGCCACCAGAACCGTGAGCCACAAGTGCCTCCCCTCCTCGAAGCCACAGGTGCTGGGCATTATGTGCCAGTCATGGGAATCTGAGACACCTGAGCTGTGAGTGCCCTTGGCCCGCCCTCACCATCAGTTTGCCAGGCCTGCACCATTTCCATCTCCAGGTGTTTCTCAAAAATTAAAAGCTTAAAAGCCAAACTAGGATGGCCTATTCACATGAAGGTTTTGAGGGGGAGGCGTTTTCCCTTTTTAAGGCAAGGTCTCACTATGCAGTTCAGGCTGGACTTGAGCTCACTTTGTTGCCCAGGCTGGTCTAAGAGCTCACAACAACCCTCCTGCTTCAGCCTCCGAGTGCTGGGATTACAGGTGTGCACCACCATACCCAGCCACATGAAGGTTTAGAGAAGCTGATAAATCTACTAGTAGGTAAGGCTACTTCAGAATACCTTTCTCAGTTATTAACAGGTCAAACAGACAAAAAAAAAAAGACATAAGTAGGTTGTTGGGTTTGAGCCACATGATTTATTAACAAGTGTGATACAATCAGCTAACTGTGCCAAGTGCACATTCCTATCAAGCACAGAAATCTACTTCAATAGAATAGTTTAGAAATAAATAAAATTCCACATAGGTCTCAGCAGACACCTGTGGGTGCTGTGGACTGGGTGGAGAACACACACCCCGCCTGCCGAGGGAGGTGACACCTCCAGGCCAGGGCTGCACTGAGTAGGGGCAGTCCCAGGGGACCCTCCTGGGGAGCGGTGAGGACCCCAACATCACACCCTGGAGCACGGACACAAAGCCGTTGTGGTGTGGAGTCCATGCCCCCGACCTAGGCTGGATAAGGTGGGGCCTGGCCCAACGGGCAGATTTCCACCCCAGCACCAGGACCCCAGGGGAGTGGATCCTAACCCTTCCCAGGCCAGGGGCCATGCCAGGCTCAGCTGGATACTACTTGGTCGAGTCCCCCACAAGGAGCAGGCCTGGGTGGGGACCTCACAGGGCTCTCGGGCCGCTCGTTAGCAAGCCCTTCAAGGGATACTGGCTCTGTAGTTCCAGGAAGGGGACTCGAGCCAGGGATGCACACGGCTCAGGCCTTGTCCTCCCCCCTCGCCCTACTCAGGCTTCCGTCTCTGTCAGTGTCACCGCCTGCTGCACACGCTCTGCTGCAGGGCCAGGGTGAGGCCCAGCCTCTTCCTCTAAAGCTCACGCTGTGCAGCCACGAAGCTTCCAGCAGCACACAGTGAGCCCCGGGGACTGCCTGGGGAGGCAGCTTCGGCACCAAAGGCCACAGCGCTGCAGACAGATGTGCAACTGCGGCAGCCGTCGTGCCCTGGCTAAAGTCCCAATAGCCTGGCACATGTGCCATGCACTCCTCACCACTCTCCAGGGACAGGAGCCAGGGTGGCACCAGCTGGATCCAAGGCATCCCTAGGTCAACCCCGTAGGAGGTCAGGGCTCCCCACTCGGGTCCACCCACTCCCCCTTCCAGAGCACTAAGAGTCCCCTGGCCCAACTCGTGGGGCTGGAGACGCCCAACCTCTCCACTGCCGTCCAGGGAGCCCCTGGGCCCAGGGAGAGACACCCTAGACCCCCAACCACTGGGTAGGGGAGGTTGCAGCAAGCCCCCCATGCTGGCTCTGTGGCCCTAAGGACCAGCTGTGTGACCCTGGGGGCTGCTGGCCCTATGGGATCATTCCTACCAGGGGAGCAGACTGCCCACCTCCTGGGGCAGCAGGAATCCATCACGGGAGCCTGAATGGGGCCAAAGACAGGAAGGTAGCCGGGCATGATGGCGCACGCCTGTAATTCCAGCACTCGGGAGGCTGAGGCAGGAGGGTTGTTGCGAGTTCAAGACCAGCCTGGGCTACAAAGTGAGCTCAAGGCCAGCCTGAACTGCATAGCAAGACCCTGTCTCAAAAAGACAAAAAAAAAAGAAAAAGAAAAAGAAAAAGAAAAAAAGACAGGAAGGTGACTGCCAGCGACCCCAGGGATGCTCTGGGAGCTCTGGGGTGGAGGTACAAGTGGGACTTCTACCCCTTGGAGCCCAACCACCAACCCACTCCCTCGCTCCTCAGGCGACCAAGCCCTGGCCGCAGCTCACAGCCCTTATCCCAGAGTCGGCACCTGCGCTACAAGAGGTTCACTGTGGCCACCACCTGCTTGCAGCCTGTGACGGCAAACTCGCGGCCCGAGACCTGGTAGTAGCTGAGCTGATCCGCCAGGCGCTCAGCTCGAGCCTGCTCCGGGAAGAAGCCCTCCCCCGCCATCTCGTCCCGGAAGCAGCTAACCACGTCCCGCTTGTCCAGCAGCAAGAAGGGCACGACGGCTGCAGAGCTCCACAGCGGGTGCTCGCGCACCAGGAGCGCGTGGAGGCGCGCGCGAAGCTCCTCCTCAGCCGCGGTGTCATCGGGGCCTGGGGCCGGGGCGCGCGAGGCGTTCTGCAGCACGAAGCGTGTGACCTCGGCACCGCCCACCCCGCTCAGCAGCACGTAGATGGCGTTGTGGAAGTGGTGCGCGCGCTGTGGCTGCAGGAGGCCGTGCAGCTCATCCAGCAGCGCCGGCGGCAGGCGCTCTGCCTCGTCCAGCACCACAAGCGGTGTCTTCTCCTCGGCCTCGGCCTGCGCCACCACCTCCGCCACCCGGCGCGCCAGCTCCGCGCGGCAGCCCTGCGCAGCGTGCGGCTCGGGGCAGTGGTGCTGCGCGTGGTACTGCAGCACGAGCGCGCCGTCCTCCAGCACCGCGCGGAAGTGGCGCGCCAGCAGGCGGCCCACGTGGCTCTTGCCCACGCCGCTGGGCCCGTGCAGCGCCAGGAGCAGCGGGCGGCTGTGCACGTGCGTGGCCAGGTAGTCCCGCAGCAGCGCCATAATGCGGCTCACAGCGGCAGGCTGCCCGAACACGGCGCGCTGCAGCGCCTTCTCCAGCCCGTCGAGGTCGTAACGCTGCGCGTTGTCGTCCAGGTTCTCGATGGCGTTCAACACCTGGAAGCCCACGATGGCCACGAGCAGCAGCAGGCAGCGCTGCGCGCGGCTCTGGCGCTCCGCACGCGGCCGGCACCTGCGCGACGCCTCGGGGTAGAGCACCACGCGGCTGCGCCGCC